ATAGATCGTACAGAACATTTTGTAAAAAATTAAATATTTTATTATTGTAAACTGTAATTGAAAACTTGAAAATCTGAATTTTTTCAAATCATAAAATAACATTTGAATTTAAATTAAAAACGGAAAGTGTTTCATACGATCTAGGTACAGACATTTTTCTGGTTCAAATATTTTTCAGAATCAAAATCAGACAACGTTAAGTCGTTAAATAACTATAATTTTGTTAAAACAATAAATGATAAAATTGTCGTAAAATTCGTATAGTGAATTTTATATTATTCTCGAGTTATTGACATGTGTATGTACGAGAGTAGTACTCGCATTGAATTTCTCATTTCATTCACACAAATAATTATTCACAACAAACGTCAAACACATAACTCCCTGTGACGCAGGGACAGAAACCGGTTTAACCGGTTTTCTGAAAAACCGGTTAAAACCGCGGTTTTTGCATTTTTGAACACCGTAACCGAAACCGAAACCAAGAGCTTTAAAACCTCGGTTAAAAAACCAGAACCGTAACCTAAGAATTTAAAAAACCATTTATAATACCCAGACCGTAACCAAAAAATTTTAAAACCGTTCTTAAAACCGTTCTTCAAAACCGATTAACATTTAAAACTAATATCGGTTTCTTAGAATTTTCTAAGATTGTTTAAATTTTTATTTTTATTAATTCTAGTTAAAACAAGTATTTTTCTACGAAGAGAATATTATATTTGAATTAATATGTATGAAAAATTCCCGATGCTATTACTGAGTATTACGAAATATTAATAATACGATATTACGAATATTATTCTATTTATACTACCTACCTATATTTTATTACTAGATTTGTTGATTCTAAATTAAAATACAAATATCACAATTGTTATTTTTATCGCCCCTATGCGTGGCTATGCACATCTGTATTGTAAATTGTTATTATTTGAAGAATTCGTCTATATTATTATTTAATTAGAATTGTATTTTCGTATTCGACTGATCCGCGTCCGTCCCGCTGTCCCGCAGACCGCAGTTATCATTAATCGCATGAGACCATTTTAAGGAAGCTATGGTTTAAATTTTAAGTTCCTACCACTATGGAAAGTGCATTAAAACAGTTGTATTTTTTACATAGCACATATTTTTTTTATAATCCCCCCCTCCCAAACATAAGGCATATTATATAATTTATATTGAAAAGAAAGAAGATATTATGTACTACATAATATAATATAATATCTAATATATAGTGTACATGTATTTAGTATTTCTTACTGAGTGTCTTAACTACTGCAACATACAAAAATATATTGTATTTGTGTGCATTTAATATGTTATTAGGTAGGTACTTATTAATTATTATTTATTTCCTATAGGCAATTGGTGATACAAATTACCAATGTTATTAAAAATATATGTATAATACCATAATATACCTTTATTGAGTATGTATATATAATATTTATATATATATTCCTAACAATCCCTTGATCAGAACCCAATATATCTGTATCCTTAGACAGTGCCACCCCTGAGGCTCAGGCCCTTTCCCCTTAATAGTTAATAGATAATACAAATCAGGTATATAGATATTACTGGAAGGGGCGAAGTAGTGTGACTTATTGGGAAGAAGTACTGCGACCAACGTCCAACAACCTCCATCGACTCTCGATACCATTGAAAAAAAAAAATTATTACTGGAAACTAAAAACCGTAACCGAAAATTTTTGAAAACCGTGGTTTTTGAAACCGATAAATTTAAAAAACCCTTTTTTGAAACCGAAACCAAAACAGAAAAATTTAAAAAACCGATCTTTAAACCTAAACCAAAACCAGAAAATTTTATAAACCGTTCTCAAAACCGAAACCGAAACCGTTAAAATTTGTAACGGTTTCTGTCCCTGCTGTGACGAGATTAAAAATTGCCTAAATGTTGCCACTTAAATAATTGCAGTAGCGAGGAAACTTTTTGAGGCAGTACCTATCTACGGTTGGTATACGTTGGTTAAATACGTGTTACTTAATTATCAATTAAACGACTGTAAATATTAATATGTAATATTATTGACCAAAATTGTACCTTATTGGTTACAACCCGTCGAATTATATAATTTGTTGTTCAAACTGAATTAGTTAACATGTCATGTATATTGTACAAACATATTTAAATACAACAAAATCTAATTTTGTAGTAAAATAGTTTGTGTAAAAATGTCATTTATTACTTTATATTATATCAAATTATTAATAAAAATTGAGGATTTTTTCCTTTGGCAACCCAAAGTACCTACTAACGAGATTTACATTCCCACGAACAAAAATGTTGAAATTGAAAATTGAAAAAAAAACAAGAAAAAAATTTTTCCTCCCCGGCGGGGAATCGAACCCCGGTCTCCCGCGTGACAGGCGGGGATACTTACCACTATACTACCGAGGACTGTGCTATGAAATACGAAATTTATGTTATTTAATTTGTGGTATAATCAGTCCTGTAAAGTATTTGAGTAAAAGTATTCAAATACTTTTTTAAGTATTGAATAATTTTTTAAATACTTTCAGCATGAAGTATTTTGAATGGTATTTTAAATACTTTTTTTTGTATTAAATACTTTTTGGTATTGAATACTTTGGTTTTTTATTTCGAACATTTTATTTTTATTCGAAATAATTTTAGAAATTTTAGAATGAATTAAGAACACAAAATGGTAGTATCACCAATGAGTGGTTTCTTCCCTCAAAAAAAAAAATCATACGCAAATACCCTATGTCCCTATGCACATTTGCTTATTGTTTTAGTTAAGAAGAGATTGTAAATTTCATGTAAAAATAAAAAATAAAATGTAATAAACATTTATTTAATAAATAATAAATAAAAAGGTGGGTAAGTGGATGTCGCTCTGCTGTACAGCGTAGGTTACAAGTGGGTCACTGTATAATGGATGGTATTAAATTTGAATTCAATGATACAATATCATTGTATAAGAAAAACGATTCTGAGCGAAGACGGTATGTCAGCCTAGGTTTAAGACATTATATATATATATATATATATATATGGTATTAAATTATATGAAATTTATGAATAAATTTCTTAAAATATACACAGTCTTATCATGAGCATACTTCTTATTCCTTATACTATGGTAGATTGTATGGATAGAACATAATATTTTGATTTTTAGTTTCATATATCCCCGAATAATATTTTTAAATTGCAACAAAAACAAAGATCCTTAATATTGATTTTAATATGTAATTTCGTCCAAATTTGAATTTAAAATGTCTGTAAAAAATAACTGTGTTCATATATTTTTTAGATTTTTTGGTTACAGTATGAACTATTTATGAGAACCTTTGTTTTAAATTTGCAATCCTTAGCTATAAAAACTGAACATTTTATAATTTATTAATTACAATGATTGATAATTTTCGAGATTTTGATAAATTTTGTCAAAATTCGATGTTTAAATGCTTATAAAAAAAATTGTGCCTATGTATTTTTAATATTTTTCAATTGCTATTGTAACAATATATCAGGAGCCTTGTATTAATTTTTTACACTTTTTGGCCCAACAGATAAAACTTTATTGATATTTATAGAAAAAAAAAACTAAAAAAATTGATAACTAAAAATGTCCGTAAACAGCTCAAAAAGAATCGAAATATATTCAAAATTGTACAGTGTATAGGAAATGCTAATCTTAACATTCAGTGAAATTTTCATATATCTACAGTTATTCGTTTTTGAATTACAACAAAATAAGGAAATCGGTACATGAGAAATCGAGTGAATATCCAATGTTGTAAAAATTTGTATTTCAAACGCTCATAAAAATTTAATTTGACTTTCCGGTAGAGATTTTTTAATTGATAAAGGTAGACAAACTTATGAGTAATCTTGTATTAGATTTTCAAATCTTAGATTTAAAAAAAAAAATTTTTACGAATTCTTAACTCAAAATAATTTGCTAATTTTCGTGATTTTTCCATATTTTGTCAAGTTTTGAACTTTAAATGCTTATAAAAAAAAACTGTGACTAACGACTTTTAATATTTTTCATCTGCCTTTGAAACAATATACTAGGAGCCTTCTATAAAATTTTCAAGTTTTTTTAACCAACAAATAAAATTTTATTGATATTTCTAGAAAAAAAACTAAAAAAAAATGAAAAATGAAAATGTCCCTAAACAGTTCAAAATAAATCAAACTATTTTTAAAATGTTATCGTGTATAGAAAATGCAAATATAAACAACCACTGAAAATGTATCTACGGTCATTTGTTTTAAAGTTACACCAAAAACCAAAATCGATTTACTCAAAAACAGATTTTGCGTAAAAATTCCCGTTTTTCCTTAATTTTTCTTTTGTTTTTCTTGGCGCTTTTGAAAAGTACTGGGAATTTTAAAATTTGACCTCCCCAATGCACCAACGATATTCACTTTCCAATCGAACAAGATACTGAAGTCGAAAATCGAAGCATTATTTCGACTACTTATCGTGTACACAGACACAAAAAAAATAAAAAAAAAACACACATCATTGTAAAATCAATACATTCATTGTTTCACTCAGAATCTAAAATGATTATAAATTTACTACCTATGTGTCTATATTACAATAATTAGAAACCCACTTTAAAAACCAAAAGTATTTGAAAAGTATTCCAAATACTTTTTCAAAGTAATTGAGTAGCAGTGCTCGAAATGGAAAATTTTCTGAACCGGAACGCTTTTTTTTGAGTACATACCATAGAATTGGGGGCTTCACCCAACCAAAATTACTAACCCTTTTTTAATAATAAATAGGTTGTGTCTATTATTTTATGAAACTCACATTATATTTTCAGCCCTTTTAAAAATTTAAATATATTTTTACCTTCTTTTACTTACTTACGAATATGTATATATTATATAAAATAAAAATATAAATATAAAAGAACTACTTAAAAACTTATATTTATTTAAATTCTATATTTATAACTAAAAAAGGTACAGCGTCAATACAATTTTTTTACAATAACCTCCACAGTGATTCGTAGGTCTTATCACACTTTTGGTTTCTTTTACGACTTGCGGTATCATCAGCTGAATGTCGACCATTCAATAACCAAGATCGAACGTATTTTTCTGGCTCGAATTTCGTTAGAGGTGGTCCAACACAATTAATAAATAAAAGAGCAGCAACAGTTTTTATATTTAAAGAAGTTCTTAGTGGTGACATGATTTCGTTCATAGAACTAAAATTTCGTTCACATTCGCTAATCGATGCTGGAATCGTTGCAATTGATTTATAAAGGGGTTTCAAATCTTCTGGAATTTCCTTTTTGCCCAAGTCCATTTTATAAATTCTAAAATTTTGAATAGTGCTTTTTTCATCAATTTGAAATTGTTGACATAAATTACGAATATTATAGTCACCAAATTGTATGTTTTCTATTTGGCCATCATTCGAAAGTGGCCAATTTTTTGGATTCAATTTTTCAATATTATCAAGTAAGTTTTTAAACGTTTTGTCATTGTCTTGGCGATTTTTTTCATTACGACTGACATTTGATGAACTGGAAGTCATCATTCGAGATTTTAAATTATTAGCTAGACTTTTGTAAAATTGTGCAGAATTTATTTTAGAAACTTTACCACTGTGTAATATTACATTTTTGTACGACATTTTGTTCTTTATTTCTTTTAATGCGTCAGTTAGTTTTGGACCCGGATCGGTTGCCATAGAATCTAATACACGTATTATTGTTCTTATAAATTTATCAGCGTCTACTAACGTAATACTACGTTTTTGTAAATATTCTGACAAACTACGCTATCGGCGGACGACGAATGACGATTATCTAAAGATAAGCAATAAATTTACTAATGCGTCGCGCCCTCGCGGTCGTTTGTCGTTTATTAAATATTTTACAATGCACAATTCTGCAAAATGTTTAAATTTTACAAAAATATAGTAGGTACAGTAAAAATTTGTTTGAACCGGAACGATAAACGTATTTTTTTTACGAACCGGAACGCTAAAAATTTTTTTGTCGTGAACCGGAACTGCGTTCCGGTGCGTTCCGGTCCATTTCGAGCCCTGTTGAGTAGTATTTGAAATACTATACAATTAAAGTATTTGAGTAGTATCTTAAATACTTAAAAAAAATGTATTTGAGTACTTACTCAAGTACTTTTCAAAAGTATTCTTTACAGGACTGCTAATGGACATGTCGATGGAAATAATTTATTATACTAGTACCTACCTTTTATTGTATTTTTTTTCGGATTATAATATGTGGCGACAAGGGCGTAAACAGTGACCATATTCAAAGATAATGAATAAATATTGACCCATATTATTCACTAACACTTGTGAATTTAATTATTGACCGTTGCACCCTATTACAATATATTGTTTAAATCACATAAATCGATAAGTACCTACAACAATGTTATGACTTTAAACTCAGTTTGCTTCACTGCGACAGTCTTTAGTAGTGCATTCGTAGTTGTTCGTATAATACATTTGATAAGTTATAATTTTATAAATTAATTTTAGTTTACGTTTTCCTACTTTGGCGAGTATTGTGATCAGTGGCGTAGAAAGATTCGTTAGCGCCCCTGGCAAACCTAGGAAAATGCGGCTTTTTAGCGATTAAAAAATTGACGAAAATACGGAATGATATTTTTTAACATTTATTTTTTATATATATAATTAGGTAATACAATATTATTTAACTATCAGTTATTATGATAATGTAAATTTCAAACTTTAAAAATTTTCTTTTCTTGCTTTAAGGCTAGAGAATTCATTGATGATTTCGTCATATGAAATTTGTTTAGCAAATTCATGTTCTATGGATAAAATTGCCATGCTTGTTAGTCTCTCTTGTCCAATAGTTGATCTTAAGTAATTTTTAATATAATATTAATATATTTATGATAAGATTATTGATATATAGACGACAAATAATATAATAATATACTTTATAGACGGGCCACGGGCGATCCGATAACGATAAGCTCGATGTTCAGTGTTCAGTGTTCACAAACACACACACGAAACACGAATTTAAAGATAAACAAGATAAACAAAATCATAAACATTTCAAAATGTATAGCCGTATATGTAATAAAGAAATGTCGTTTTGAAGGTAGAATAAAAATAAGTACCAATTTAAAAGCACAAATTTGCGCCCCTTCATAATTTGCGCCCCTGGCGTAGGCACAACTGTGATAATACCACTGATTGTGATAATAGTTCTGTCGTACGATCAATATACCTGTTGATATTTTTTTTACGTGTGTCACTTCGGTTTGGTGTATGTTTAATGTTTAAAATAAACATAATATTTATGTAGTTGTATTTTTATATTACATATATATTAATATATTATATATTATTCGTTTCGAAATTGAACACTTATTCATTAAGTATTAGGTATTTAATATTAGGTAGGTGCCTAGGTAAATATACAAGCTTCCGTCAGCCGTCAAGAAGAAAATGTCTGCAAAAGGAGTGTCAGAGATAACACCTAATTTGTCTGAGCCCACGCCTGAGCAATCTCAGAATATTATGCAAGAAAAAATCGACGAAGTATCCGTATTAACTGATGATGAAAAAAATGGATTTGCGACATGATTTCTAACTATCGATAATTTGTGAGAGCGTTCCAATATTTACATGTTCGTACCTTAAAATAGAAGCTAAAAATCCTATTGTATCTTTTGAGGTGGAAACGATTTGTAAGAACTATTTTTTAGTGTAATGCTGACGTCTGTTTTCGCTTATCTTATACAAAATAAAGAGGACGAATTTTGTCTATTTTTTAAAAAACGACCACTTCCTTCATCAAAACCAGTATTTTGCTACAATTTCTCACGAGAGTCGGCCGAGTTACTCAGTTGATGTTGAAAATTAATTAATTTCTATGGTTTCCGTGAGTACTCAAGCAGCTAAAAATGGATCACATATTAAGGAATTCTATATTGAAGGAGAGTTTTTAAAAGAAATTAATCTAATATTGCTGTGGAAGGCGAAAATGGAATAACTGTTACAGAAGGAGTTCTAGAAGCAAGTTGTGTGATCAAAAAGAAAGTCGACAACTATATCAAAGGTTTTCTGGTGCTGACTTTGAAGTTTGCATGCTTTAAGTTTTAAATAATTAAATGGGATATATAAATATAATATTCGATTTCAATTTGATTTAAATTAAAAAAAAAAAAAATGATTTTAGATGAATTTGTTTTTATGTAAAAGTTATAACAACACCTTTTATAGTGTGAGCATAATGTTTGATTATAGAAGGTACCTATTTAACAATATTTAATTTAGAACTTTAACTGAACTCCTTTGTTGGAAATTATATAAAATTGTTTTACAATAACTCATACAATAGATTAACTACTATAATGTACATTTTATTTTCAAAACTGGTATCATCATAAATGTATTTTTTTACTATTAACTACCTACTTAATACACAGTTATAAATTTAAAATTTTATTATTTGATGGTCTACTTAGGTATATGTTTTTTTTTTTATATAAGTTAACACATTAAGTTTGAAATAATATATGCATCATATTATATTAAACATTTGGTCTAATATCAAAAATATCATAATCGTTAAGATCTTGCTTTAAATGTGTAAATAATATAAAAGAACAATAATTCAAGATTATTATAACATTAGGTAAGTTGTAAAATCAATAACCATATCTGATAATTGCTGAAAAATCTAATTGAAAAATTAATGAAATTATAAACAACTCTATTGTATGAACTAAATTGTAAAAACTATTTGTTTGTGAAACTAACTTGGTTTAATATAATAATAATATGTACTTTTTGTACCTGCCTGTGTGTATCAGTTATTTAAAAATCAAGACAGCAATTTAAAATAAAAACTAAACATTATTTACAATGTGTTATTATTTAATGTTTATAAAAATTAAATATTTTAAATTTATATTCCAAAAATATTATTATTATTCTTTTATAGGGGTATCTAAGTATTAACTAATAATATATTTTTATTTTAATACTAAATAGTCAACTATGGACACAATATTGATCAATAATAGATTTTAATATTTTATATTTGGTAAGTCACTTTCAGATACAATAGTGGTTGTTCTTTGATTTTCTTGTTGCGGTAATACATTTAAATTAATATTTTCTTCGCGAGAATTAGAAGAAAAATATTGCTTTACTTGAATTTGTTATTAAGTTTTTTGAATAATGGCTTTTTAGCTTTTTAAAATCACTACAGGAATATAGAATATTAAAATATTTTTAATACAGGTAGGTACACGATATTGTCAATAATCAAGGTACCTACTAAAACAATTTCCAATTAAAATCAATGTCCACAAAGTCATAATTTTTTTCTTTATAAGAGTTTAAATCACGAAAATATATTATTATTCTAATATGTACCTACTTAGATTGTAGTTGAACAATTGTAAAAAGTTCAATTATTATAAGTAAGGCTTAAAAATGTAATACATTTTTCCTCATAAATAGTTCTTACTGCTAACCAAAAATCCTATTACCTATACATATAATATAAACAAACCCAGTTAATTTTATTTTTTTTTTCATGCATTTGAAGTTCAAATGTTGACGAAATTAGATATTTAAAGGAAGAATAATGATTTTAGTTATTTTGTTGTGGTTTAAAAATCATATTCATGGGTACTTGAAACTTTTAGTTATATTATTATACTTACAATACACAATGACATATTCAGAATATTTAGATACGTTTTAAGGTATTTTTACCACGAACCCATTCACACCGTTCTACGGTTTTTCGGAATTGACTCAAAAGTTAATAAGTATATTATACAATATAATACCTATGATTTAAATATAATAATATTGAAGTTTTCAAAAATATTAATACAATTAGGATATTACTAATAGTGAAAAAATAATAAAAATTACTATAATAGCAATATAATTATATTAATTAGGTAGGTACCATGTGATAATAAATATATATTATAGTAATATATAGGCTGAAATACCGTCTCAGATAAGAATCATTTTTTGGGACGTAAATATTTATAATTAAATTTAAATCTATTACAATTTCGAGTGACTAGGTACACTCGAATACTCGTTTACCTTGGTACAACAAAACAGCAGACTAATTTTCCGACTTTGAAACATTAATCTTTTGTCATTCATAGAGATAGGTAATACAGTTGTTTGGCTCAACTCTATCACACACGCGACAAGTGCATATTTTGCAACTATGTATTAACTAGTTTTTTTTTACAATATGTCGGTAACGCCCTATATAAATTATATAATTATTATTAAACTATTATTTACTACAATATAACTACTAGGTACCTAGCTGTAATTAACTATAAACATTGAGTACCGATGTACCATAGAACGGTGAGTATAAATAATAAAAGTGTGTTGTGTACCTAAATAGCTTAAAATGAATGTAAATATTTTGAAAATTCATTGTTTATAGAATTAATAAATAATAATATACACAATTTCGACAAATGGCAAGTCCCCTGCGATTAATATTTTAACATAAATAGGTTTTTTGGCTGGATACACGTTTTTTGTTTCCGACTAGTTTTTCGTAACGTTTTTGTAGTCATGTTTACTTATTAACAAAAACATAATATTAAGAATTCACAGACTTTTCTCGTAATGGAAAAATATCGAGTTATATAATTATATATTACAATTGAAAATTAGAAAAACCA